ATACCTCCTTTCTTCCACTGATGCCGCTAGAAATTAGCGGCAAAGTGTCTCATGCACCATCTATGTACTAGAGGCGGGAACCTATCTATATGCTCAGCTGCAGCATTAAGAAGCCCTGTGTGATGGTCCGAGATCAAACATATAGTGCGAGTTGGGCCAAGCACTTGCACACGTAGAAGCCGCATGAACCATGACCACGATTCATTGTTCTCTCCCTCTGCCAAAGCAAAAGCCATGGGTAGTATCTGGTCCTCAAGATCAACAGTAGCAGCCATCATCAAGGTGCCCCTGTACTTTCCTGTCAAGAAAGTGCCATCAATAAGTACGACTGACCGACAAAACTGGAATACATATTCCGTTTGCGCGAACGACCAGAACACACGATAGAGGACATGCCTCAATGGGTCCCGAAAAAACATCCCTCTGGTGTCCACAAACCATTTCAAGCCAGGGTTGTATTAATGCATTGCACATAAGATGCGGGGCACCCTGTTGTACGCTTCCTCCCAAGTACCCCATCGAATCGTCAGAGCAATTTGCTTAGCACGCCAAGCCTTTCCGTACGTCACATCGTAATTAACGATTCCAGATATGGACTGTTGTAAAGAAGACACTGAGATGTCGTTATTGTCATCAACGAGCCCCAATATACGACGGATAAGGTAACGTGCAGTGAGCTGATGATGATTTTCCTTCCTCCTATTGTCTAGATAAGTGTGGGGTTTGACAACTTTAGTTATCCTCCACTTGCCATCACTCTGTCTCTTTCGTGCATTTAACCTCCACGTACAACCGTTTTTGCATATCACGTGGTACCTCAACTCCTGGTCCGAATGAGTGACGGTGTACGACCTATGGTGGTACACAGCATAGTTCTGAAGGAAGAGTTTCATCTCTGACATTGTGTTGAATATCATCCTCTTCCTAAGGGTTTCTTTCTCATGGTTATACAATGAATTCCTACACATCTGGAGACCGGTGTCACAAACTGCCATATCCGTCATGCTGACATCCCTATAGTTCGGAACACCCCTGAAAGGTACGTTCTTGGACCTTAGTTGCTCAAGCTCAGTCGCTGTGTAAGGTGGTGGTGGAATATACTGCTGCGCTTCGCTAATTCTAGCCCATGAATTATAGGGGGTATCATCTGCAGCCAAATCTATGACTAGTCTATCCTGAGCATGGACACCATGTAAAACCTCAGTTGGTACTGGTAATGGCATAGTATGAACCGGTACTGGCATGGCATCAGCCGATACTGGCATAGCATCTGTACCTCCTAGGTCATCATCAGAATCGTCTGAATCACTACTAACTACATCACCGATCCTGTCCTCCTCTTCCCGTTCGAACTCATTCACATCGAAGTCATTGCTTATACAACCTACTGCAGTTGAATGAAACTGCTCCTACGTCAACTGACCGTCCAAATCCGTGTTATCCTGAGTTGCTTCCCCTTCAACCCCAAATTCTTTATCATTGCCTCCGTAACCATCAATGGACGGACCGTCCTGAACACCCTGCATCCTGTACCCATTCTCCACCACCACCTCAGCCATGGGCACATTGGAACCTTGGAGAACCCTAGTGTAGTGGGACCAGTAAGCAGGGTCGCGCAAGGGCATGAGGACATAGTGTGCCCTAGTCTTTCCAGTATCAAACCTTCCCTTCAGTGTGAAATCACCGACAAACTTTGCATTCAAACGGACACAAAGGTCGTTGAAGCTAGGATGTTCATCAAACCATTCCAATTCTTCTTCCATATCCTCAAACATACCATCTTCTCTCCTAACACTTCCTCCATACAAAACTCTAACACAACAATCCATCTGCAAAAACATTTCAACAAACTTCATCAAGTCGTCGAAATCGTCGTACGTAATGTTCGTAGTAATATTAATACATATTCTAATTATAACTATACTAACTAATCTAATATTAACATCTATACAAGGCTAACTACAACAACTAATTAGACTAAATCCAATACATAACTAGACTCAATAACTGTACTAACTAAACTATCTATACTAACTTACTATATTACCTATACTAACTAAACTAACTACCTTTACTAACTATACTTTAATAATTTTACTAACTTTATTAACTATACTAACTATATTAGGGGAGTACCTCGCTGCAGCGCGCTAGACTGGGCCAGGAGGCGCGGGCGCAGGCCTCGGCGGGCAGCCGCCATGCGTGGCCGGAGGAGGTGGCGCGCCGGCGTGCGGGCGCGGCGGCCACACCGAGCGGCCGGCGACCGTGTCGTGCTCGGCGACGGGCTGGCTGGTGCGGGCGGACGCGGCTGCTTGGCTGCCGTGGGTGGACGCGGGCGCGGCGGTCGGCATGCTCGGCGGCGGGCTGGCACGGGCGGACGCGAGCGCGGCGGCCAGGCGGCCTTGCTGCGCTGCTGCTCAGGCGAAGGCGGCTGCTCGGCCACTGGCGGACGCGGGACGCGGCGGGGGTTTTATTCGACCCTGCCGCGCCAAGATCGGTGACGCGGCAGGCCCTGCCCAGTCAGCAGTCAGCGGTTCCGGTCGTCGCCACGTCAGACCTCTGCCGCGTCACCATGCATGGCGCAGCACCAGGGCAATAGGCGCGACCAAAAGTGTTAGTTTTAAAAAAAAACCGACCATGTTAGATTTAAAATTAATTTCGAAAAAGTGTTAAAATTAAAAAAAATCCCCAGGCTCCATAGAAAAATGCAACCTGTGGCTCCCAGAGAACACAAGGAACGTACATACACTTGCGTGTGGGCTGTTGTGGTTACTGGTGTCATGTGCTCAACTTGCCCTAATTGGCAACTTAGCCTGACAGTGCCAACTTGCAATGCAACGCGTGTTACTGTATGCAGTAGCAATTCTGAACACCAGTGCACCACCCACACCGCATATTCCCCATCGCTATCTTTTTTCTTATTACGTGTGCATATATGGATGCACGCTTTGTGCATTGTTGTTATTTTCAGCACCAACGATCGATTGTTGCTTGCCGATCGAGCAGTTCAGATTGAGATGCTGTGTGAGTTGGTAACACTTACGCGTCTCCAAGAGTAGAAATAATGTCTGCTAGCTCATACTGTTGGCGTTATTTTTATGGCCGGAGCCTGAGAAGTACTGTAATTAATAGTAGTAGCTAGTTTTCTGCGAGAGACAATGTTAACTACATAGGCGGATCATCAATTTTATAAATTCATATAATTTGACAGTGCAACATGAGAATTATATATTGTGAAAATATCATGGTAAATGTAACAACATAAATCCTATGATGTTAAACGTAACTATCCAGAATTTTTTTTTTTAAAAAAAATCGATGGTCAAGAGTAGAACGGTTTAGCTTTGGGCAAAACTGAAAAACACTACTGAAGTACTATTGTATATTAAACATATTGGATCCACTTTCACTTTGAAGACCGAGTGTGCTGTGCTAGTGCTTGCATGTTGGGTCTTTTAGAACAAGGTGAGGTGATAGTTGGGTCGCTTTTTTCGACCAAGTTAAGTTGTTAGTTGGGTCATTTCGATCAAGTTGGAGCAAGTGGTGGCATGAGTTTGACGGCTGTTTGGTCGTTGTACCATATTTAGGCCTTGTTTGGTTCTTTTTAGCCACCTCCTAAAATTTCTGTCACATCGAATGTTTGGACATATGCATGGAGTATTAAATATAGACTAATTATGAAACTAATTGCACAACTTGCGACTAATTTGCGAGACGAATCTTTTAAGCCTAATTAGTTCATGATTTGACAACGTGGTGCTACAGTAAACATGTGCTAATGATAGATTAATTAGGCTTAAAAAATTTATCTCTGGAATTAGCCTCCATCTATGTAATTGGTTTTGTAATTAATCTATATTTAATGCTCCTTATTAGTATCTAAACATTCGATGTGACATAAATTTTAGGAGCGACTAAAGAAACAAACACCCCCTCCTGCTAAACACCCCCTCCTGCTAGATGAGTGGAGCAGTCTCCTTAGTGGTATGATTTCCGTGTCTAGTTTGCATTCAAAAAACTAGGCTAACACCTGTCCTTTTTCTTTCTTTCTTCGTCTAATAAAAATCAGGGCAAAGCTTTTGGTGTTCTTTCTAAAAATTGTATATATTGTTCCCATTTTTTAAAAAAAAAATCTGCAAGGTGCATCAAGTATACCTTTTTTGTAAAAAAAATATTATGATATTTATTGCTCCAACTCCAACCTGGGATCACAAGAAACGAGTGATGGGCCATGCATGTGACCCTTCAAGAAGTACTGCCGTAAAGGCAAATTTACACTCGGCCGCGAAGGATCACCTTGTGGACATGTGTGTGGCAAGGTGGACTGGTGGTGGTAGTGTTTTTTCGGTGGAGCTACGACATCCCTTGGCCGAGGCAGTTTCTGTTGCAGTGACACCGACGTCACTGGCGCGAGTGCCGACGACGTGGGGAGCTCCGACCTCGGCCCTGCACCCGTCTCCTGGATACGGTGCGCGCGGCTGATATGGCGCGCGCCGCGTGGGGGGCGTCCGGACTGGAAAGCCTTTGCGCCGCTAGGCTTGGAAAAAGAAGCAAAACGAAACCATCGCCGTGTGCGCGAGAGCTTTTCGTGTGTGTTTCATCGTCGTCCTTGGAGGGGGCGCGCGCGCTTGGTCCGGATCCTGCACGTTGTCCCCTTCCCCTCGAACACCACTAGTATCATATCGTGCTTCTGTTCCTGGGGGTGGCACTACTGCTACATCTACGTACTTATGGGGTGTGTTTTGTTTCACGGCCAACTTCTATCCTGGCTAGAAAATAAGCCAGCCTAGTTTAAACATGCCTTCAGCCAGCCAAGATGGACTTATTTGGTTGTCTACACTATCTAAGCCTGGCTAGCAACTAGTTTGTTTGGTTGGCTGATTTGATTTGGATAGAGTCACCTCTTCTTTTTCTGGTAACTTCACCTCCTTTGAAGCAATTCGTCGAACACCTTTAAGGCGAGCAGGGAGAGCAAGCCATGGCCGACGCCGCAGCCCGTCATGCCGCCGCTTGTGTGCCTCAACGACATCGCAGTCCTCCCAGCCGCCATCGAAGATGCCGCGGCGACGGTCCTGTGGCTGCCTGCGCAGGCGAAGCAGGCCGGAGGGGACCCGTGGGTCGCCGAGGCCGCGGACCTCGGGCGGCTCCTCGTGTCAGGCGACTTGGCCGGCGGCACCATCGTGCACCACCTTGCTGTGCGCTTCAGCTCGCTCGCGGCTCACGGCACCACGCCATCACCGCCAACATTGGAAGCTTGGGAGAGCACAGAGAGCAGGACGCTGCAAAGGCTGCTGGAACACGCTGGAGTACTGCAGCAGCGGCAGGAGCTTGGGCGACCCAGCCGTGAACGCCGACCAGATCCGAGCGAGGGGGCGCGAGCTGGAGAAGGACCGCATCGCAGAGGAGGACGGGGGCGGTGGGGAGCGCGTGTTCGTCTCGGCGGGGGTCGACCATGCCGCGTGTCAAATCGCGGTGACGGTGGTGGTGGGAGAAGGAGAAGGAGCACCGATGGGGGAGGAGGAGGAGGGGCACCGGCGGGAGAGAAGGAGGAGCACCGACGGGGGAGCACCGACGCCAGCAGGGGAGCACTGGCGGGGGAGAAGGGGGAGCACCGGGTGGGGGAGAAGGAGGAGCACCGGCGCCGGCAGGGGAGCACTAGCAGGGGAGAAGGAGGAGCACCGGGTGGTGAGAGAAACTCAGCTCGAGGCTGGATCCGGCTTGGCTCCAGAAGAACGACCGATTTGATCGTTTAATCCTAGCTAGGCTAAAGGGGTACGGATGGTCAGTCCTAGCTAGGCCCCAACCCACTTCCAGGCAACCAAACAAGTCAAAATTGGCTCCAGGGAGCCATGTTAGGGGTTGGCCACCCAATCAAATACACCGATGGTGTGCATGCTCACTATACATGGCCAACCGGGCCGCACGGCACGGCCAAGCACGGCATGGTTGGGCACGGCACTATTGGGCATGGTGCCGTAGCCGTGCCGTGCCGCATCGTGCTGCCGTGCCGAAGTCTTGGCCCAGGCACGACCCTATAGCTTGTTTGCCGTGCTGTGCCGACGAGCACGGTGTCCCGGCGTGCTTCCATGAGCCCGGCTCCGCCCAAGGAGTGAATCGACGCCCCCGCGCCGCCACCACACAGACGCGCGCCGCCACAGCCGAGCGCGGCCACCGCGTAGATGAGCGCCGCCGCAGCTGAGCGCTCCACCGCACGAATGCGCGCCATTGCAGTCGAGCGCTCCACCGCGCTAATGTGTCGCTGCCGTGGTAAAGAAGTCGTTGTGGTGAAGAAGGTGTCGTGTGGTGCTCAGATAGGAGAGGAGAGAGTGAAGGAGTTAGGGTTAGGAGGAGAAAGTGGTGCTTATATACCTCATAATTTTCATCCAAGGGCTGTAAATTCGTCTAGAGTTCATCCAACGGTGGAAATAGATTGGGCCGCATAGTGCCAGCCCATTAACCGTGCCATGTTTGGGCCGGCACTGCGGGCCGAAGTCATGGCCCAGGCACGGCTCTATCACCGGGCCATGCCTGGCACGGGCACGATGGCCCTCGGGCCAGCCTGTGCTCGGGCGGGGCTTTTTAGTGCCTTGCCCGTGCCGGCCCAGCGGGCCTAGCCCATTTGGCCAAGTATAATGCTCACACTGCTCGCAGGTCGCATGGAACGGAAAACAGCGATGCCGAATTGCCGATGCGGTGCGGGCGCGGCCTGCGCACTGCCGGGCCAGGGCCAGGCGGTCCCGGCTCCTCCTCCATCCACGGCTCTACGCTACGTGCCGGGTGGACCCCCAGCAGCGGGGCCCTTCCAAGTGGCACTTGCGGCTCCACTCGTCAGCCAGCGAAGGTGGACAAGAGTCGCCCCAGCGGCCCAGCCCAACTCGTCAGTGAGCGAGAGCGAGACGAGACAGCAGGATTTATTGAGAGCGCGTCCTCCTCCCTCTCACTTCCCTCGCCGCGCTCGGCTTGCCTTCCTTCTCGACTCCCATGTCTCGTCTTCTCCTCCCAATTTCACGCCTTCGCTTATAAATACCGGCATTCGGGGGCACTCGGCCTCGACAACCGCCGCGTCGTCAACTCGCCCGCCAACTCTCCTCCGCCGCCGCGCCGTAAACGGTACGGCTTCGATCTACTCCCCGTCCCCGATCGGGTGGCTTCGGTCCGATTGCTCGGTCGATGTACATGCGCGTTAGCTCATCGTTGGATAATGGATTAGTTTGTGTTTACGTCTGCAGATTCGGAGTTGTTCATGGTGTCGTCAGACCATTCTGGCGTCGCCTTTTTTTTTCCTTTTTTTTGGCGGTGTGTGTACATGCGTCCATGCACCATGACTCGTGCTTTCACTATGTGTATGTGTGTGTTTTTAGAACCAAAACGGTGTGGGTGGTTTCTCTCCGCTCTCCGGCCATCCGGAGATTTTTGTGGGGAATTTGTTGAGGTTTTCGTGGATGTCTCCGATCTCAACGCAGTGGTGGGGTGCTTCCGTGCGTGAGCTGTCGTAACTTAACGGCGGGGAGAAAAGTTGCGCATGTTCGTTCGTAACTCCGGTTTCTGTTCATGTGGGTTTGAAATGGCACCAGCATCTGAATCTCGTGCTCTTGTTTTTCCACCGCTGGGTTTCCTCATCTTCCGAGAAAATTCGTCGCACGTAGCTGCGCTACCCGTGCGTCGCGTCTTTTTCTTTTGAAAGTCTTTTATTACTCCTTTGTTTGATCGGTTCTGGACGTGGTAACTATAGCTGGTGAGCTGTTCTCCTTACAAAGTTACAAGTCGTCGTGGAAAATTGATGCGTTCGTTCGTTCGTTTCCTAAACTCTGGGTTAGGACTGGGCCCCACCCATGGAAGAGGGGCCTCTTGGACCAGACCGTGAGCTGCAATTATCCGCTGGAACAATTTTTAGTGCTCTAATCTAGTTCATCATCAGAGGATTTTGCACAAGTTTTCGTCTAGTTAGATATAACCTGCTGAATTATATTGTTAGAATGGTTATTTAAAAAGTTGTTGCACGAAGAAATTCAGAACCTCACGTTACATACATTATATAAGTCATGAACACAACACGCATATGATGGCTTCTGATGTCAAAGTTTGCCCAAATTGACTTTTATTTTTTCATGGACAGCTAGGCCATTTTGGTACATGAACTTTCTCTAATCTATCTAGTGATTGGCTCTGATCTTCCCTTCCCCTAAAAAAAGAGCCTGCTTTGTTTGTGGATGAGCCGCCTGATGATCCTATGTTAAGCGTCATTTCATTATTTTCCATTTAAGCCTCCACTTTATTAATTCCTCTCTCAGGTTATGGATCTACTAAGGCATCCCTTCAAGGGAGTTGTCACTGATATCAAAGGAAGGGCCACTTGGTACAAGCATGATTGGGTTGCAGGACTCCACTCTGGCTTTAGGTCAGTTTTGTGTAACGTATTTGTGCTGGGTCGTTATTAGTAATTATGCATGTCTCGTCTGTTCACTATTCCTGTTAATTGCATAGCTTATTTGTATTGCTGGCAAATGGATCATCAGGATATTGGCACCTACCATGTATATCTTCTTTGCCTCTGCTCTTCCTGTCATTGCCTTTGGAGCACAACTGAGCACGGCAACAAGTAAGGCCTTGCCTTGTGCTACTATGCTAGTTAGGCCTGTATATCACAAAAGCAGTAACAAAACAATATACTTTCGTTACAGATGGTATTCTCACAACAGTTGAAACATTGGCATCGACTGCGATATGTGGCATCATACATTCAATTCTTGGAGGGCAGCCTTTATTGATTGTTGGAGTTGCCGAACCAACTATTATCATGTACACTTATCTCTACAACTTTGCCAAAAATCAGCAAGCTCTGGGTGAGAAGCTATATTTGGCGTGGGCTGGATGGTAATGACTGAAATAGAACGCATTTGAACCCGTGTTAGCTTTCAGATAAACCGGACTTGATATGTCCTCTCTGTCTGTAGGGTCTGCATCTGGACTGCCATCATGTTGTTTCTTTTGGCAATGTTCAATGCTTCCAACGTTATTAGCAGATTTACAAGGGTTGCAGGAGAACTTTTTGGCATGTTAATCACTGTTCTGTTCTTGCAAGAAGCTATCAAGGTACTATGATACTAGTAAATCCGATTTATTTCTTACATGGCAGAAATATTTAAAACGGGTTGTCTAATGCAGGGGATGATAAGGGAATTTAGTGTGCCCGAAGATGCTGACAGCAGTTCACCAATATACCAATTCCAGTGGCTGTATGTCAATGGCCTACTCGGTGTCATATTTTCAATTGGCTTGCTGTATACTGCATTGAGGACCAGGCGGGCAAGGTCATGGCTATATGGCATAGGTTGGTCACTCTTTCTACTCTTTTTATTTTACATCTGTAATGTTATACCTAAAGCTGAGTGTAGCTTGCTGTGCAATATAAAGCCATTCAATTGATCCAGACTCCATAGACAGTCTAACTTTTTTTTAACTAACGGGCTCGGGCACGAGCTCATGCCTATTTCATTGATATAGATAGAAGAGAGACAGCTCAACCCTGAATCCTACTAACACAATAGTTCCTCAGCCCTTTGTTTTACTTTGTGTTTTTGGTATATGAATAATCTTTCAAAAGTAGGTTTTTGGCCTTTAGTTTCTCTTATGGTATGTATTACAATATTATATTAAAACACTTCCGAATCTAAATCCATGGGTACAACCTTTCTACAGACACATGCAAACAACTAATTATTTGCAAATGAAATATAAATCCCTTTTTTCCAAAATAAAATAGTTGTAAAGTGGACGGAGGGAATAAACATTTCTCATCTGAACTGGATTGCCGATCGGATCGGGCCTGAATGTCAGACCTGAGTTTGGACTAGCAGCCTGTTCGGCAGACCGTAAACGATCGTGGATTATTTACTGCTGGCTGGTTTGGTGTGAGAAAAATACTGTTCTGGCTGGAAATTTACGATCGTTTACGACCAAGCGAACAGACCTGTAGACCATGCTCGACTTCTTTTATGTTTGTGCTTGTCCTGGTTTGGGCTGGCCCACATCAGATGGGAGTTGTGTTGAGAGCTTTATGTTTTCTTATCAGTCTTCAACTCCAGTTTTACTTCCTGTTTATTTGTATGGACAATTCTATTTTTTCTATGGAAGTGAGCCTAGCTCAACTTGTTGCGTGACAGATGTGGTCGTGCACTCTACTATCAAGGTTCAGCTTGAATTTGGGTTCCTATTAACTATTTTCTCTCAATGAAAAGCCATCTAGTAACTCCTAGGTTGGATCTCGTTTTTTTTTAATTTTCTAATACATTTTGGTCTGAGCCCGTTAAATCTGAGAAAAAAGAATTAATGCTAAATAAGCCATTAAATGTTTCGTAGATAGTTTATTTCTTATTTAGTGGTATCTGCGCACCTGACCATACACTTTGATTTGCCATTTACAGGGTGGCTTAGAAGCTTTATAGCTGATTACTAAATGTTTCGCAGATAGTTTATTTCTTATTTGGCGCTATCCGTGCACCTGACCATACACTTTGATTTGCCATTTACAGGGTGGCTTAGAAGCTTTATAGCTGATTACGGCGTCCCACTTATGGTGATTGTGTGGACAGCATTGTCGTATACACTGCCGGGCAAGGTGCCTTCAGGAGTCCCCAGGAGGCTTTTCTCTCCACTTCCCTGGGAGTCAAGTTCACAGGGACACTGGACCATAGCAAGGGTAATAAGTCGCTTGCTTATTATTCTGAGATGCAATATTATTGGCTGTAGAAGTGCAAACTTTCATAGAGATTTCCTGCATGGCTGCATGACATGATTCTGAATGCTTTCTCTTCTGTTTACTGTCAGGATTTGTTTTCCGTCCCTCCAGCGTATATACTTGCAGCCATTCTGCCTGCTTTGATGGTTGCAGGACTTTACTTCTTTGATCATAGCGTAGCTTCACAGTTGGCACAGCAAAAGGAGTATAATTTGAAGAAGCCTTCTGCCTACCACTATGACATTTTGGTCCTTGGAATCATGGTATGTGGCATATAAGTCTCTATCATACAAATTGTTTATTTAGATTTTCCATTTGGTTGTAATTTAACCTCAGTTTCTTGGTATCTCAATCACATTCGTTAGACTAAGTATGACAATATATTTTTTTCCCAATATATAGTATAGAAATGATACATGCCCTTGGTCCGCGTTTTTAGTTCAGATCTTATGGCTGTTTAGTTCCTTTTCTCATGCTATAAAAATGTCAGGTCCTGTTCTGTGGTTTGCTTGGCATCCCTCCATCTAATGGAGTCCTTCCTCAGTCTCCCATGCACACAAGAAGTCTTGCTGTCCTTAAGAGGCAGGTTGGTGAAATTCAAATTGATTTATGTGGTTTGCTAATGTAATAAGCTTTCCTCATACATTTCAGTCTCTTAAATTCAGTTGCTAAGCAAAAAGATGGTTGATACTGCCAAGGAGAGCATAGGAAGAAGTGCTACCAGTTTGGAAATATATGGCAAGATGGAAGAAGTTTTCATCGAAATGGATAGCGAACAGAATGTGAGTCTTTTGACTCTTTGTTACTTGACTTATTTATACATGTCAACAATAACAAAGCCTTTGAAACTTACAGCAATTTGCCTTTACCAATTACATATGAATTCTCCTTAATTTTGGTCCAGTACCTAACTACTACCTAAATGCTGTCCACGTTTTTTTTTTTTTGGAATGTTACAACTTACAAGTAAAATAACACTAATGCTCAACATGTGGTCTTTCAGACTGATTCTGTTGGCAAGGAGTTGAAGAACTTTAAGGATGCTGTTCTACAAGAATTCGATGAAGAAGGGAAATTGGCTAGAGAGTTTGACCCTCGGAAACATATAGAAGCCCACTTGCCTGTTCGAGTGAATGAACAGAGATTGAGTAATCTGCTACAATCCATATTGGTTGGTGGTTGTGTCGGAGCTATGCCAGTCATCAGGATGATACCAACATCAGTTCTCTGGGGTTACTTTGCCTACATGGCCATTGACAGTCTACCAGGGAATCAGTTCTGGGAGAGGATACAGCTTTTGTTCATTGCAGAAAGCCGACGCCACAAGTAATATCTCTGTTCTGCATCAATTCACTTCAGTTGAACAATTGGACTAACATGGGAATAATGCATATAGCCTGTGTTCCTCCTTTGCGATTAATCATCAGTTACACCGTGTCTGTAACATTTTCAGGGTTCTTGAAGGTCCCCATGCATCTTTTGTGGAGTCAGTGGTTCCCAAAACAATAACCATCTTCACGATCTTTCAATTGGTTTACCTCGTAATATGCTTCGGCATAACATGGATACCGCTAGCCGGGATCCTGTTCCCAGTGCCTTTCTTCCTTATGATTATCATCAGGCAGTATCTCCTCCCAAAAATTTTTGATCCCATTGTCTTGAGGGAACTCGATGCAGCTGAGTATGAAGAACTTGATGGGGTCCCCCTTGAACACAATCTGGTATACATTCATCTTGCCTTCGCTTTGAATCCATTTTTCGGTGTTTTGTATGCTTGACCCGTTTGTTAATAGAGATATGGTTTTCCTGCACAGGAAGATGAGGTATCTGACGTAGGAAGTTGTCCTAGCCGTCCTGATGCAGAGATATTGGATGAACTCACAACCAATCGGGGAGAGCTAAAGCACAGAACTTCAAGCCTGCGTGAAGAAAGACCAATTCAGGTAACAATGAGCACGCATATGGTACTGCAATAAGTTTACAAGGGATTAGATGTGGTGTAGTGATGGCTCATCGATTGACTCTCTGACATTTCTTTTCTCTTTTTTGCTGGCTTCAAATAGGAGCCAACGGGTTGAATTTTTTGCGCTCTTTTCTTTTCTTTGGGAGAACAAGTAGTCAAGTACGCACCACGCATGTCAGTGGCTGCTTTGTGCCTAACATAGGAAGATTTTCACAGGCTACTTCGAGTTAAGCACATTTCACACCTTTCTCTTTCTTTTCTTGGAGAGGGAGGGGGTTTCTATACTATATACCGTTGATTTTGCGTTTAACTTCAGCTTCACCCTGCAGGTTGCTCCAAATGCGGTTCAGCCAAGCCTGTGAAGACCGTAAAGTGTTTTTTTCGCAGAGTGATGATCCTCAAGCTGCAGTCCGTTGATGTGAATACTGTTGCTATGTAATGTACTGCTACCACTACTAGTGTTGTACTTGGGTTTTTGACCCAGACGCATCTGTGGGAAAGGTAGAATTTGTAAGGTCGGGTACTTAGCCTAAACTACATAGGAGTGACTGGAAAGACTAAGAGAGAGCAGATGCAATACAAGTCTTGGATATGGAAGGGGAATGGCCGAACGGAAACGAAGTAGAATAATATCATATTATCATTAGTTCAATAGTCTGTACTAATCAAGTCCTTCAGTACATGATTGTCAATGTTTGTCGAGTTTACATTTTGCTTGCTCTCTTTGACTGCAATCGCGTCAGTAAAGCTGCTCTCATATGGCAATCCGAATTTCCGTTGGGGGCGCAAGTAACCTTTTGCGCCTACCGGTACTGCCGTAACAGTGAATTGTTGATTTTGTGAGCGAAGTATGATCATGTCACCGAGCCAGCTCGTGACCAGCCCGGAGCAAGAGCAACGCACGGCGCCACGGAAGCAACAGTGACCCTGTGTGACGTGTGGCGCGACCAGCTTCTCAAGTGGAGCAGCACCGCGGCGTTGACCAGCCGCCACGGCGCCACCGGCCCATTTCCCTTCATTCCGCGACGCCGGCCACCAGCCCACCACCCCAGGCCACAGGCCACATGCCTCTTGCTTGTCGCTCTCGGTTCTGCTCCAGTCCCGCGCTCCTGGGCTCATGCAGAGCATCTGGGCCTTTACCAGCAAAATAGGCCGTCATTTCCTGTCGGAAAAAGTCCACAATAACTCCCTCAACTTTCGCGAAACTCCGTTTTTTCTTCCCAAACCCTAAAACTAGGCAAAACACATTCCTCAACTTTTAAAACCGTTCATCTTACCTCCCTAACCCTGTTATAAGCGGTTTTGAAGGCAGTTTTGTCTTTTTCTTTTTTATTTATTTTAGCTGAATCTTTGAAGAATCATAGTAAATCACAGAAAAATCATAAAATAGAAAATCCAATTTTGTTGGACTCCATATGAGTAGATCTACATAGTGAATATATAATATGGTATGCTTTAGTATAGAGTTTTTGTTGTGGCTTTAGATCTATGCTTTTATGTAATTAAATGGAATAATTCATAGCTGCAGTTTCTATGGTCCAATTATGGTGAAATTTTTATGGTGAGCTAATTATTGTATGTTTAAACTGTAGTAAAAATTTCATACTCATTGAATCATGTATAACTTAGTTATATATTTTATTTAGGTTTATGCTTGTTAAATATAAATAAATCTATAACTAAGCTATACATGATCGAATGAGTATGAAATTTTGCTACAGTTCAATCATACAATAATTATCCCATCATAAAAATTTCATCATAATTGGACCATAGAAACTGCAGTTATGAATTATTCTAATTAATTACATAAAAGCATAGATTTAAAGCCACAGCAAAAACTTCATACTAAAGCATACCATATTATATGTTCACTGTGTAGATATATTCATGTGGAGTCCAACAAAATTAGATTTTTTATTTTATGAAATTTTCTATGATTTACTATAATTTTTCAAAGATTCAGCCGAAATAAATAAAAAAGAAAAAAGACAAAACTGTCTTCAAAACCGCTTATAACAGGGCCAAGGAGGTAAGATGAACGGTTTTAAAAGTTGAGGGATGTGTTTTGTCCGATTTTGAAGTTTAGGGAGGAAAAACAGACTTTCGCGAAAGTTGAGGGAGTTATTGTGGACTTTTTCCTTTCCTGTCTTTGACGGACTGGCCTTTCCTTTTGCAATTGATTGGGCTGCTGCTGCTACCCTGTACCATCATTTCCTGTCTCGTTGCGCCTAATCTTTTGCTATTACAAATGCGGCGAAAGTGACAAATCATTACGCACACAAAGGATGTAACAATCCCATTGCACCACCACCCTTGAGTGAGATGCTGCATAACCAATCCTTCTCAAGTTTACATTTAATCCTCTTCCTGACGATACATAGGCAGGTTTCATGGTCTTATATGTATCTCCACCCCCGGCCTCAACTCTGGTGCAGGGACGGACGCGACCCCAGTGACGGCCCTGGTGCGGGCGCAGATCCGGAGCGGGCGCGCGACCATGCTCCGTCACGGGATGCACAGCTCTGGCACGGGCGCGCGGCGTTGCCCTGGTCCATGCCTTCCACCTGCTCTCCATCCTAGATCTCGCCCTCTGATCTGGCCGTGACCGTGATGGGTTCTATTCTCCTCCTATCGGGGCAGCAACTATGGATCTAAGTCGGCGTTTGAAAGTGCATGTTGCAAGCATTTGTTTCAGATATTTCATAAGTATGTTGCAATTGTTTTATGCGTATGTTGCAAATGTAGATCGATATGTTGTGTATGTTACAATGGTTGCACACTATGTTGTAAGCTTTTGTTCCCAATGTTTTATCTATGTTTTCCAGATGCATGCTGCAATTGTGTTTATCTATGTTGCATATGTTTTACATATATGTTGCATGTGTATTATTCGGATGCTGCGTAAGATTGCAATGGTTTTCAAGTGTGTTTTAGGTGTGTTTTTCAAGTGTTTCGTAAGCATGTTTCAAGTGTTTCAGTTGCCTTCATGCGTATGTTGCAACCGTTGTATTTGAATGTTTCAAAAGTAGATCGGGTGTTGCATCTCTCCTATCACCTTATGCTGCATCGTCTCTCCCAGAGCCGACAGGGCATCTATATGAACGAGGGATGGGCGATGGGTGCAGGACGAGGGAGCTACGTGCGTTAGGTGTAAGTGAGGGAGCTCCGTATGGACGGACGCTATCTCTAGAGCGGGATGGGCGCTGGGCGGAGGGGGCTACGTACGTCGTGGTATGGGAGCAGGGGCGCGGGCGTAGGCACGTAGTGACGTGGGCACGGCGGGAGGGCACTCTCCTGTTGCGCGGGTGCAGCCTACATGAGAGGACGTGGAGGTTGTGTCGAACGAAGCCATGTCCGGACATAGATATAGAGCCGGACGTCCAAGCGCTAGGCTTGCCAAAATCAAAACTCAAAACCCATGAAAAAAACCTCGGATCCCAATCGGCGCCCAAGAACCCGGTGCGCCCCCGCGCCCATGGCATTTGCGAACTGGGAAGCCAACCGATGGAAACGGACCCCAAACTCGACGACAGAGGAGCCGCTGAGTGAGCCAACGTCCCAGGGAAGTTGCCCGAAAAGCAAAAGGTCGTGCCCCAGCCCAATCGGCCGCCCAGCTGCACCCCATAGACCGTCGTACCAAGCACGCATCGGGACCGCCCCACCTGGCTCGGTCGCTCCACCGTAAAAGTGACGGCCCACGAGAAAAAGCGCACACCGTGGCCCCCCTCTTGCCTCACCTCGAAACCTTATCCACTCGTTCATCTCCCTACATCCCTCCCTCCCTCCATTCTTGTCGCACACTTTGTAAGTCCCACCACCACCACCTTTACCACCCCATCACAGGGCACCCACCCACCGAATCCACTCCACCCGCAGGTCACACAAACTCACAATCAGCCTAAAATCCCTTTCTCCTCCGTTCCAGACGTCCTCCAGTGCAGATGGTAGTGTCATCAGGGATGGTCTTCTTCATCCGCCCACCGGTGTCGGCACCGGTGGCTGGCCCTACGCTTGCTCTGCCTCAACGGCCGCCGATGGGCGAGGGCACGTGCTGACGGTGGAGGCGCTGGCAAGTGGTGGGCGCCGCTGCTGGGGTGGTCGGGCCAGCTGAAAGGTCCTAATGGCTAGAGGGGGGGTGAATAGCCTAATAAAATTTCTTTAACAACACTTAACAATAGGATTAGACAATTATGAGGCGAAGCGAGTTTTGCGCTAGCCTACCAAAATGCAAGCCACCTCCACAATTCTAGTTTAGATGGAGTATATCCACACAATAGCTATATCACTACACTAAGTTAGTGTGCTCTCAAAGGCTAACTAAAGAGCCACACTAGCCAAACTAATAAACTCTCACAACTAGTTACACTAAAGAGCTTGACAACTAGTTTGCGGTAATGTAAAGAGTAGGCAAGAAGGTTATACCGCCGTGTAGATGTATGAACCAATCAATCACAAGTGTGGATAACAATGAAGACCAATCACCTCGGAATCAATGATGAACACAATGATTTTTTACCGAGGTTCACTTGCTTGCCGGCAAGCTAGTCCTCGTTGTGGCGATTCACTCACTTGGAGGTTCACGCGCTAATTGGCTTCACACGCCAAACCCTCAATAGGGTGCCGCACAACCAACACAAGATAAGGATCACACAAGCCACGAGCAATCCACTAGAGTACCTTTTGGCGCTCCACCGGGGAAAGGTCAAGAACCCCTCACAATCACCACGATCGGAGCCGGAGACAATCACCACCCTCCGCTCAACGATCCTCGCTGCTCCAAGCCATCTAGGTGGCGGCAACCACCAAGAGTAACAAGCGAATCCCGTAGCAAAACACGAACACCAAGTGTCTCTAGATGCAAACACTCAAGCAATGCACTTGAATTCTCTCCCAATCTCACAAAGATGTTTAATCTATGATGGAAATGAGTGGGAGGGCTTTGGCTAAGCTCACAAGGTAGCTATGTCAATGCAAATCGCCAAGAGTTTGAGCTTGAGCCGGCCATGGGGCTATAAATAGAGCCCTAGTGAAATAGAGCCATTGTACCCCTTCACTGGGCTGAACACAGGCCGACCGGACGCTCCGGTCATATTGACCGGACGCTGGACCTCAGCGTTCGATCGTGCGATGAGCGCCACGAGTCATTGGCTTCAAACGCCGATTGCCCGATTTCAACGGCTACGTAGTTGACCGGACGCTCTGGTAAAACTGACCGGACGCTGAAGCCCCAGCGTCTGGTCGTTTCTAGTAAGCTCCCCGAGGCGTATTTCTTCGACCGGACGCGTCCGGTCCACCTTGACCGGACACAAAATAGCGTCCGATGCAATACCCTCGGCACTGCACAGACCCGTCAGTTTGA